TTACTGAGGCAGAGAAAGGAGGGCTTCAGGGGGGTGGGAAGTCAGCCATGGAGTGGGGCTGAGAGTTTAAGTAAGAGAGAGAGTGACCAGATCTCTAGGTTTGCTTGGGACAGTTCTGGTTTATGTGTGTTGTCCTAGCACCGTTTTTATAAAAATGTTCTAGTTTGTTGGTTAATAATATGGTCAGCCTAAAGATGTTGCTAGAAGAGTGGATTTGTCAGTGAGAAGGTGTTTGGTGACATTGGCAAAAGCCTTTTCAGTTGAGTGGTGGGGGACCAATACCAAATCTGAAAGGGACTGTTAACCAATCGTAGTTGTCAAATCCATGAGAATTTCTTATGTTTCCCCTCTACATTTGTGTATGTTTGAAATATATAAAAATGTGGATGGGAAGTGATTAAGTGAAGATAGCTGTCAGCAAATTTTAAAGAAATTTTGCTCTAAAAGGGAACAAATGAACAAAAGAGAGTTCATTTGGTTATAAGATTCTAAAGTAAATAAAAATATTCCATTGCTTGAGATAAATTTATTCCCAGGGGCTTAAAAAAAAAGAAGAAAAGCAAGTAAACTAGAGGGTAGCATGAGCCAAACCGGTTTCGGCTGAACACGTATTTCAGTAAAAGCAGTTTCACTAGGGTCAGAGCAGGGTCTTTAACTCCTTTTTTTTTTTTTAACTGAGATTTACCCTTTAAGGCCCAACACAGTCCTGCATGCACCTTTCCTATTTTAGCCCTGGCTGAACTCAAATAGCATCTCTTATTGGGACCATGGAATTTCTAGCTTCGCTAATAGCTAGTTTATTTTTGTTCAGAAGTGATTCACGTGGGTTATTTGTCTCTTCCCACCTATGCTGGGATCCCCGTGAGCACAGGATCCAGGAGGGCAGGCTGCTTCTGTGCTCTTTGCCATCCTCGCCACTTCATACACGCTTTCCGAGTAGCTCCGGGCATGGCTCACCCAGCGCCTGAGAGCTGGCTGAATGTCTGAGACACAGTGGGCTCTTCCTCCCTGAGGGCTCTCCATACAGTGTGTCTCCGTTGAACACCTTCTCATCTTCACGATGCTTGGGGGTTTTCTCTTGGCTTTGTTTTCCTAGAGCTCAGTGCCAGAGGAGGAGCACGGGAGCCCCCGGGCCGACACCCCCAGCACCGTCACCGAGGTGGACATGGACCTGGACAGCTATCAGACAGCCCTGGAGGACGTGCTGACCTGGTTGCTTTCTGCCGAGGACACGTTCCAGGAGCAGGATGACATCTCGGAGGATGTGGAGGAAGTCAAGGAGCAGTTTGCCACCCACGAAGTAAATAATCTGTTGCCCATGAGTGGGCCCTGTCCGCCACGGCGCCTGTGCCTTATCGGGGCTCTGCCGTGCTATGTATGCTCACTGAATTCTGCTCCGCAGGAAGGTCACGGCTCATTTTAGGACTCGTGATATTTAAATAGGGCTTTGTTTTAAAGTCGGCGTGGGTGACTCACTGTGCATTGGAATTAGGTTTCAGATTTTAATCTTATCGTAACTTGTAAAATCTGTGGAGCCACTGACACAAATCAATGCACAGCACTGCTAGTTGCTGAAGTATATTGTTATAGTTAAAACACAAAGTGGCTAATTAATACAAATACATCAAGTCTTTAGACTTGGAATGTTCCCCAGGAAGCGGTTATTTTTATTTATTGTATGATTAAGCAAATGTCATATCCAGTGATCATGTATACTTTCATACAATGAAAATTTCCTACTATTTTGAGGATATAGTGTATTGCACTGTAGTGATTAGCTTATATGGAGATTTCTTTTTGATTAAGTAGTTGTTTTGTGCCTGTATGGTAATTGACAGTTCTTATGTGCTGTTTTGGTTTGAAAATAATAGAAGTTGTCAGATTCTTTAAGCAGTTTCTCTTGGGTGAGCATGGTGTTTTATTTATTCTGTTTTCTCATAATTCCATGTCATGATCTCTCAGTATCATAATCAGCATTTACTTAAAAATAGTTACTATTAGCTGATGTAATATTGTTTTCTTTGATCAATTCCCCTTTTCTAGTTAGGCCAGTGCTTCTTTCCTATATTCAAAGTTGGGTCAAAGTCTACTTTATTTACAGTCTACATGGCTGCCTTTTTCTGCAGCCTTGATATTGAAACATTAATGTATTTATATATTTTTTGCAATGAGCTGCTCACAAATCATAATGATGTACCTTCTAGGCTTTTATGATGGAGCTGACGGCACACCAGAGCAGTGTGGGGAGCGTCCTGCAGGCAGGGAACCAGCTGATAACACAAGGGACTCTGTCCGATGAAGAGGAGTTTGAAATTCAGGAACAGATGACCCTGCTGAATGCTAGATGGGAGGCCCTCAGGGTAGAGAGTATGGACAGACAGTCCCGGTGAGTGGAAGCAAAGAACGACCACTTTATTCCATAATGTGTGTTGCCCAGTTTCGTTGAAATAAAGGTCTGTATGTCCGTGAATGCAAGATAATTACAGAGCTTGCCTTGTAAAATTTGACTCTTTTCTTTGTGTAATGCTGCTGGAGTTTTGTATGATCTTTGTTTCTCCTTTGATGTGTTAGCCAAATTAAAAGGTAAAAGTTGGAGTACAGAAATTAGGTAAAAGGAAAGGACATTTTATATGGATAGATATTGACTTGTAGTATTAAAATTGGCTAACCATTAACCCAATGTGAAGACAGGATTATGTAGTATTATTTACAATTTATTACATTTTTCAAAGCAGTGCTGCTGCCCCCCCCCCCCCCCCCCCCCCACCTCCCATGGTTCTTTTTTCCCCTCTGCATTGTGTATTAAGGAGCAAACTACATTCCATTGCAATTTCCACCTATTTAATATGCAGGAATTCCTGATTGAAGAAACAATGATTCTGATAGGAATGGTGGGTGCTGTTATTTGCATTCTTGGACTGCATTTAATTGATTCCATTTAGGAGGAAAATGAAAGTGTTTTTTTTTTTTTGCTTGTTTCTATATTTAAAAATGAAGTGCTGCTTTAAATTGTTAGAGAGAAGTGAGTTTCCTTGCCCCCCACCCCCCACCCCATCCCACCCAGTTTGTTTGCTGCCAGGAGTGTGTATTGTGTGCATTTGCCTTTGCAAAGGGGAAAAGCAAGTGGGACTGATGCTGTGTCCCTCCCCACAGGCTGCACGACGTGCTGATGGAGTTGCAGAAGCAGCAGCTGCAGCAGCTCTCTGCCTGGTTGACGCTCACGGAAGAACGCATTCAGAAGATGGAGACCTGTCCCCTGGATGACGATTTACAATCCTTGCAAAAGCTGCTAGAAGATCATAAAGTAAATCTGGCTCACATTTCTTTTCTACCTTATCAAATATGAAACAGCAGCACGTAGCCTTCTCACCGGCTTCTGCCCTTAGTGCAGAGGTGGGACACTTCTCAGTGTCCTCTGCTCATCAGCAGCTTAGAGGGTGGAGTCCATGGGGATGTGACTTTACTAAAATTTTATGTGGGTATGTATAGTGTCCTAAGGAAAGCTCTATGCCAGTGGTTCTCAACCTTGGCTGCACATTAGAATCACCTGGGAATCTTTTTAAAATCCTGATTTCTGGGCCTCATCCTCCGGAAATTGTTTCTTTGTTACTAATGTTGTGGCCCCACCCCATAACAAAGAAACAGAATTTCCGGAGGATGAGGCCCAGAAATCAGGATTTTAAAAAGATTCCCAGGTGATTCTAATGTGCAGCCAAGGTTGAGAACCACTGCTCTATGCTTTCCTAAGATTCTCAAGGGTTGTTTTGGACCTGTAAGTGGTAAAGAACCCTAGTGTGTGAGCATCAAGGCCGTGCAAAGAAGCAAACCCTCAGATTTATCTGTACCTTATCCTTTGAGGAAAGCTATTCCGATCTGGAAAAGTATCTGGCACTAGGTGAAGAATCAAAATTTGGTGGCTAATTTAATTTGATCACAAATTAAGGAGAAAACTTTTCATAGTCAAGGCAAGGTAGAGCAAATAGCTCCTTTGCAGGTTATCTGAATAATCTGATTTTTCAATGAAATATCTGGATAACTGTTAAATAAAGCTTTAGGGATACTTTAAATGCAACTCAAAGGCATTTGACAGCACTGTTGGTAGTGTTTAAATAAATTACCTGTATAGCACTTGCCATGCTCTTCCTGTGGAAGGGGTGAGAATGGAAGTCATCTGTGTCCTTAACTGCTTTCCTGGGCAGCTATTCAGAATAGCTTCCGACTATCAAATATTACCTACTTATCTCTCACTTTATGTCATGCTGCACTAGAGAAAATGATCTTTGTATAGTTAAATTTGGGACTTCTTTGATTTACCAATTCTACATTCTTACCTTAATTCCTAGTATAGACATTCAACTCATTTATGCTACATTATTTTTTGCCACAATTTGGACTAAAAGTAATGACATCCCATTTGCCATCTGTTATGACATTGCATTTTCAAATTGCTTTGGTTCATAATGAAATGTGAAGATGTATAACGGGCTTGTTTCATTAGAACACTTAGGGTAATGATTGGAAATTTAAACACGATGCCTCATTAAATAGCCTTAATTACTATTGACAACCGAGTGGATTTTAAATAGGTAAATGTGAGAGAGTAGAGATAATGGTACATCTTAATTTTTTTTCTCTAGAGCTTGCAAAATGATCTTGAGGCTGAGCAGGTGAAGGTAAATTCGTTAACTCACATGGTGGTGATTGTTGATGAAAACAGCGGTGAGAGTGCCACAGCCGTCCTGGAAGATCAGCTACAGGTAAGGACCCCGAGGAGGAGGGCGACCCCAAGGGGCCTGTGGTCTGAGACCCAGTTACATGTACCCTTATTCTGTACGTCTCATCACACTGTTTATGTAGAAGAGTAGAAGAACCTACTTTAGACTGTTCTTCCCAGGTGGGGTTCCATAGCATGTGGGTTACAGGAGTCCCTCGGTACCATTCCTTTCCATCAGCCCTTGGGGTGCATGGGCAGGGTGTCTTGTGTGCAATAGTAACAAGGTTGGGAAGCACAGGAACTGATCTCGACAAGTGGCCCACAGGCTTCTTGCTCAGAATCACTTGAGGAATTTGCTGAAATGTAGATTTCTGGGCTCCATGCAGACCTGAATTACTGGGAGTGGGGCTCAGTGGATCTGCACTTTAATAAAATGTCCAGGCATATTAAAGTTTGAGAATTTCAGCCGTGTAGGATTTCATATCCCTGTTTCTTTGGTTGGACCAATGTGTGAATTTCAGTAGCAGTTTTGGGAACCCCAACAAATTGCTTCTTTTCTCACAAAGGTTATAGTGGAAAGTCTTTACAAAGAGATTGATCGGTGTTTCATTTGAATAATACTGGAATCATCTGCTGTGATGTTGCCAGTTTATGATTTTTGGAAACTTTCGGACATGTATCTTCATTTAAAGTTGGCCAGTGGTTGTGAGACTTTGTGCAGAAGTACTTAGTTATTACAGTAACCTGAGAGGCAGGCATTCGTGTCTTGCCTGTTCAGACAGTGGGTTTTCCTGATGAGACCTGTCTTCTGGCTCCGTCTTCGACCCGTTGCACTGTCCAAAGCGTTCTCTGGTATCACATATCAAATAGGATAATATGAATTAACTCTTGCTCATATTTAAGTAATGTAGAAATAAGTTGAACATTTGTTAGTTATTATTTATATAATGGTAACAAAATAATTTATTGGAAAACTTATGAAGAATACTTTTTTAAAAAATCAAAATTATTTATTTAGTATTGCTAGTACTTGTACATATTCTGTGGCCAAATTTTGTGGAATTTTCTATGGATCATGAGATGTAAACAGAAAAAAATTAAGTATATTTAATAGGATTCTCTCATTCAACACATAGTTTTTATAAGGTTAAAAGTTTTTCATAACTTCTGTATTACAGATGAAAATTTTCTTGGCATGTAAAAGTGGTTAAAAAATTACTGACGTATTGTATTTTGTTTTAAAGACAATTATAGCCTGAAAACAATTTCCAGCACAAAAAGTAGGTGTTTGCTCTATTTTGAAGATGTATGCAAGAATGCTAAATTCTCAAATAAAAACCACAATAAAATGGAAAGGGCAGGAATTTGGAGTAGACAGTTACAGGATAGAGTTATAGTTGTGATACTTTTTAGCTCTATAGTGTAAAATAATTAGTTACATTCTATGGAAATTAGTTTTTCTCATCTATAAATATATAGGATTCATCTGTATTATTTTAAAGTAACTAAAAAAAAATTGTAATAGAGAACAACTGATGTCAAGATTTACTTTGAGGATCATGATAACTATCTCTTAAAGCTGTGTTGATAAAGGATGGTTTCTCTCTTTACTAGAAACTTGGTGAACGTTGGACAGCAGTGTGCCGATGGACTGAAGAACGCTGGAATAGGTTACACGAAATCAATATCTTGTGGCAGGAATTATTGGAAGAACAGGTATGAAACTGTTATCCATATGGTCAAAATAGATGGTGAAAGGTAACTCATCTTTAATTATGGCATTAGAATGAAGTCTTACTTTTCTTTTAAAGGAACCTTTACAAGTAATTATTTGTTATTTTTAAAGTCAGATTTGTATCCATTTTACATGAAGAGTATTCATGGAGATTATACTGTATTGCTCCATTGTAACAACAATGTGATCTGTGTTTATTTTTAAGAATGTTAGTATTTAGACATGCTACTTTCAGGGTTTGCTTGACATTATAATTTCATGCATTTGTGCTGGGTAATGTGTTTGAACTTGTACCAACACAGTGCCTAGCATTTAGTTTGTGCTCCATAAATAAGTAATCCACTTAATACTTTGTGGCCTTTAAGTCATAAGAATTTTTAATGATTTTAAAACAGAATAACTACTGAATTTAACTAGAAAACATTATTTAGCAACACCATTGATTTAACATTTGGATGATAGTATATTTTTTCCTACTAAGTGTTACCATAGTAAACGAACCTTTGGTGCAAAACTACCCCTTTAGGTTTTCAGTCAGAGTAGTGGCCCTTTGCCTCCTCCATCCTTCCAGAAAAGCAGCCATCAAAACAGAATACAAATAAACAAAACTTTCCCTGAAAACACCAAATGGTTGTGGTTTAGAAAATAAGCAGATACTGTATTCCCTCATCTCAGTGTCCATTTCAATTCTTTTAAATGCATCTCATTTCCATCTACAAAAAAGGAACTGTATGCTTTTCAGGCAATAAAAACAAGTGTGTTATGCTTTGTGGTTTACTAAATATGGTGCAGATAGAACATCTGCAAAAGTGGGGTACAAAATTTGTCCCAGTATAAATTGTTAATCACTACTCCCCACCCCCAATCATTGGTCACAATCTTCCTGTTAAGAATCCCATAATGGACCAGATTCTGATTTCTGAAATATTTACAGTTCACTTTACGAAATACTGACATTTACTTAGACCAGGGGTGGGCAAACTTTTTGACTCGAGGGCCACAATGGGTTCTTAAACTGGACCGGAGGGCCGGAACAAAAGCGTGGATGGAGTGTTTGTGTGAACTAATATAAATTCAAAGTAAACATCATTACATAAAAGGGTACGGTCTTTTTTTTTTTTTTAGTTTTATTCATTTCAAACAGGCCAGATCCGGCCCGAGGGCCGTAGTTTGCCCACGGCTGACTTAGACACTGTTTTCACTCCAAGGAGTAACATCGGATAGTTAAAAATTTACTTTAATAATGACAGTAGGAGACATTGATTGCCAGAGAAAACCATTGTGTTGTTTTTCTGCTAAGTAAAATAATTTAAAATTTGGAAGGAATTTTAATTTGGCAAATAAAAATATTTACAGGTAAGGAGTAGCTGCTATTTGGGCCAATATTTTAGGTTTACAGCTCACCTTTGTATGGCTTTCTGCTAGTGACATGGAAGGAGGGATCTTCTGAAAATGGAGAGTTGAATCCAGCATGGGCACTTAATGTAGAGAAATCTGCTATTGCAGGAATGAGCCCAAGTCAGTCGTATCTCATTTAGAACATCTTTCATGGGATTATTGTGTACTCAGCTGCAGAGGCCTCAAGCGTCAGAAATGGGCTGTGAGAATGAATTCCAAACTTCTGTAGCATGAAGTGTGGCAGGGGGGGTACTCTGTAAAGGACTCCAACCTACTTTTCCAACCTTAATGTTCCCTCTGTCCTTTCATGTGCCCAGTGCTCAAACCCTGAATTAACAGTCCCTAGCCCATGGCTAGGCTGTCAATGCTGCAAGAATAGTGCTGATTCTTTTTTACTGTCTATTCCAGTGCATGGAGCCTTGTAGGTGCCTCGTGGTTTAGGTTGTTGTTTTTGTTGTCTTTGTTTTTTGAAAGAGTGTCTGTATTTCACTTGTTTTCTAGCCTTTGGTGTTTTTGGTTAAGGATTGGCATCGTCCATGGAATGTTCTTAGACTCATCTCCTCATTTTTAAGTTCTCTCCAGCCATCAGGAACCGTGAAGCCATCTATAAATCCCCCGCTCTCCTTGTCTCTAAACTGGAATCGGTCTCTTATGTGGTGTCTGCACTTTGTATCTTGTGCCATGGTGACTCCTGCGCATATCTTATTACCCTTACTATTGCTGAGGGCAGGACCCACTTTTGTCTTTTATGTCCTTCATCTTCATCTTTTTGTTTGTGTGTAATATAGAGGAAAGGAATAGTTGTAAAATTCACTGATTAAAAAATACAGTTAGAGAAAGAATTGATTCTATTGCAAACATAGAACCAAGATTCCCCCCCCCTCCCCCCACACCTCGTCTATAGAAAAGGGTTTGTGTGGTAGATGCCACATTTTGGGAAGAATTATCCCAACGTAGCTATGTTGTTTTCCACCCCTGCTTCAAATTGATCTCTCTACTTCTGCCTAAAACAACATGTATTGTTGGCCAGTGAAGTTTAACTGTCTTTATACTTTGGACTATCCTCAGACCATAATTGCTGTCGAACCTGGAGTGTTGGTGCGGTTTTGCGGCATGATGCTCTGGAAAAACCATTAGCTTTGCAGTGTGGGTCCTTAATCTGGCTCTTCTGTGAACTAGCCAAGGGACCTTGGATGTATAACTTGGCTCTCCTCTCTCTTCTTCCTAAAACAAGGGACTGAGACAAGACAATCTCCGAGATTCCCCCTGTCTCTGGAGTGTTACAATGTGATTCTTTTGGAGACTTGAATAGGTTTACTTATCCAGGAGTGGGGCTAATTTCAGATTGATCGGTTGCAAATCTAAGTAGGATAATGACTTTTCTGTGTCACTCATGCCTCATGCTTAGGTTTTTGAAGTTCTTCTTATTCAAGATAAGGATAAAGCTTCTAAGAATATAAAGTTAGAGATCTGGTAACTTGATTGAATCGAATTACCAAGTGATTCCCCACATGTATTTCTAACTTTTGTTATTATTTATAGTGCTTGCTGAAAGCTTGGCTAACCGAAAAAGAAGAGGCGTTAAATAAAGTCCAGACGAGCAACTTCAGAGACCAAAAGGAGCTAAGCATCAGTGTTCGCCGCCTGGCTGTAAGTGATGTCATTGTCAGCATCTGTCTTGTAAGCCTGTGATATTTTAGTGTTTTACATCAGTGGTTAAAACTATTTAGAAAATCCAGAGTAGGACACATTACCCAACACTGGAATGCTGCCGTGGAATGGTCTAGAACCAGGAGTCTTACGTTTTAGCATCAGATACTAGTAATTGCAAGGGTACATTCTCCTATAAAATATATACATGTTTACATGTTCTGACTGGGAAACAGGAAGATAAAGTCCTGTGAAAAGGGAGTCATCTAACAAATATCTGAAATACTAGATTTTGAAGGAAGACATGGAAATGAAGCGTCAAGCATTGGACCAGCTGAGTGAGATTGGCCAGGATGTGAGCCAATTACTTGATAACCCTAAGGCATCTAAGAAGATCAACAGTGATTCCGAGGAACTGACTCAGAGATGGGATTCTCTGGTTCAGAGACTAGAAGATTCCTCCAACCAGGTATCGTTTGCTCCAGATAATATGTTGTGCCATTAAGTAGAAGTTAAATTTCAGGTTAGTTTTAGTTTTTACGAAATAAAAGAGTAGTAGCTAAACTAAAAAGTTGGTTCCTTATACCTGGTTTACTATAAAATTGAAAAATTGACATGACAATGTCTTTTAGTTTTCTAAAGTAAATTTTAATGGATCTTAAGAAAAGGATTAATATCCAGTGATTTAACGCTTGCTAACTGATAACAGACATGAATCCATTAAATGATCTTTAAATTTTATTCATTTGAAAATATTTTAGCGAATTGATGAAAAACCCAAAACTTTGGTTTGTACATGAATGTTCATAGCAACATTATTTATAATAGACAAAAAGTGAAATGACTCAAATATACAGTAGGTGGATTGATTAACAAAATATGGTATAGACATACAATGGAATATTTTTTGGCAATAAAAAAAGGAAGTACTGATATATGTGATGACATGGATGAACCTTGAAAACATACAAGTAAAAGGAGCCAGTACCAAGTTTATAGGCACCATGATTCTATCTATATGAACTATATAGAATAGACAGACTCATAGAGACAGAAAGTAGATTAGTGGTTGCCAGGAGCCAAGGGGGGAGAGAGGTTGGGAAGTGACTGTTAATGGGTACTGGGTTTCTTTATGAAATAATAATAAAATTATTCTGGGACTAGAAAGTGGGCATGGTTGTATAAGTCTGTATACTAATAACCATTGCATTTACATAATCAAAGAAAGAACCTTCTGGCATATGAATGATATCTCAATAAAGCTGTAATAAAACCTAAAACTTTGGCTGCTCTTATTTCAGGTGACTCAGGCTGTAGGAAAGCTGGGGATGTCCCAGATTCCTCAGAAGGACCTTTTGGAGACTGTTCACATAAGAGAACAAGTGACCACCAAAAGGTCTAAGCAAGAACTGCCTCCTCCACCTCCTCCAAAGAAGAGACAGATCCCCGTGGATATGGAAGTGAAGAAAAAGTGAGAACAGACAGACATTTTCCAAACCCAGGACCCCACACAGTGTATTTTGTACTCAGTACCTATGTCTTACTAATCACGAATGATATGCAAATTTAGACATAATTATTGTTAGGAACCACTCACTACCCCTGAGTGTTCTGAGTATTCTACTTCCCACTGGCTAAATATCTGTGTTGTCTCAGATGGTTTTATTTATCCTGTGTTCAACCTGAGCTGTGTGCTGACACCCTTGCTTCTTCCTTTCCTATCGTTTACCTGGAGGATATGATTGCCCATGATCCCTCATTTTTCTTTCTTTCACTATCACCATTCTGACAGTCTCGCTTTACTTACATCTCCTTATTGTTTGTGAATCTGCTTTCTTCTCTCAAGTAAAAAAGTACTTAATTCAGGGAAGTAATTAGTCTCCTTTTTTCTTTTTTCTTTTTTTCCCCACCCCTCATTCTTTTTTCATGTTTTCTTTCTTCCTTTGTTAATTCTATTTTCTAGATTCATTAACAGATTCTTTGTGTTTGGCTTGAAGATTCATCTTTAGCATACGCTATCTTTTCATCTTATTGATTCAAAATAAACTTGGGATCTTTATAAGGGGATTAATCAGCCCTGGCATAGATAGAATGCCAGCTACCCTGTTAAGCCATGCTGTGGCCCGGGTACCTCACATGCACTGTAGCAGCTAGTCCTCAAAACACCCTTGAGTAGAACTATTATTCTCTCCCTTTTACAGTAGCGTCCCAGTGCTTGGGTAAGTGGGCAGTTAGTTTTGCCTGAATAAAAATGATGTGATTTCACCAATTTAGCTTTTGTCAGACAAAGCAGGATTCCGGTTTTACCAGATGATTTTCATTTTGATGACAGGGCTGTGCGTCCTCCCAATAGCACCTCCTTGCAGGACCAGTGTACCTCCTTGGAACTGTTACTTTTGGAGCCAAGACAGCAGATGAGGAAGGTGCTTTTGATGTTCATATTGTTGTAGACCTTTCATTTCATGAGTGTTTGTATTCTGCCAGTATATCTAGAGACATATCTCTCCAGGGCTGACTCTGTGCTTTTGGAAGCTGAGAAGGTTTTAAAAACTAGGGTGCATCAGTAAGTTCTGGTACCAATTCCAGTGTAGGTGGGAATGGGAGGATTCTCCCAACAAGCAGTTCAGGGGACACTAGCTGGGCGTCCTACAGGTAAGCTCAATTCTGACACTTCCTACTGGGAGACAGCATCCGATTCTACAGGTTAAGGGTTCAGTCCAACGAGCTGTTACCTGTGCGTCTAACCGACTGGCTATACATTGGAGGTTCCTAAGACCTCCTCTGTGGGTTTGATTAACTTGCGAGAGTGGCTCACCCAACTCAGAAGCATTTTACTTACTAGACCACTGGTTTATTATAAGAGGATATAACCCAGGAACCGCCAGATGGAAGAGATGCATAGGATAAGAGAAAAAGCACAGAGCTTCCACGCCCTCTCCAGGCGGCAACTCTCCTGGCACCTCCACTTGTTCATCGCCCCCGGAAGCTCTCTGAACCCCGTCCTTTTGGGTTTTTACAGAGGCTTCATTACCTAGGCATGATTGATTAAATCATTGGCCATTGGTGATTGATTCAACTTCCCGCCCCTTTCTCCTCCAGAGGTCAGGATGGTGGGGTGGGACTGAAAGTTCCAACCCCTAATCACATGGTTGGGTCTCCTGGCACCCAGCCTCCATCTTTAGGCGGGGTCCAAAAGTCAGCTCATTCACATAAAAAGTGATAACTCTGTTGCTCTCATCAGTTAGGAAATTTCAAGGGTTTTAGGAACTCTGAGCCAGAAATAAGACCAAATATATATTTCTTACTATAAATCACAATATCGCAAGTGCATAACTATAAGATCTTAAACACGGCCTGTTGTATAATTTGCATTCTGCTGCAAGAAACACAGTACTGTACATGTGACTTACTGAGGTCTCATTTCATGTTACAAGGAGTCTGGAGGTAGGGATGGTCGTGCAGCATCCTGCACGTTGTCTCCGCCTTCCTCAGCCTGGTGGCTTTCACCCCCAGGCTTGTCTTCTCAGGGTCCCCAAGGTGCTACTGAAGCACGGACATCCTGCACAACCTGCTTATAGGCAGGCAGTAAGGGAAGTTTTTTCTTATTTCTCTCTCTCTCTCTCTCTTTTTTTTTTTTAAATCAGGGAGATCTTTCCTGGGAGACATCAGCTAAGTTCCCCCAGTCTCACTGGTCAGGACTCAGTTGCTTGTCCATGCCCTGGGTGCTTGGGAGTTTGAAGCTGCCCTGCCTCTCCAGGCTCTGTAGTTGTGCTCTGGGGACTCGGGCAGCAAGGAGGAAGTGTGGGGAGGGAGGTGTCTGTTGGGTAAGCAACTAGCTGTGAGGACCACAGTTTTCTAGTTTACTGGTTGATTGAGGTAGACATTCCTTTAGATGGTTCCTGGACAAATAGAAGTTTGAGGATGTCTAGTTCATTCTAATAGAAGGCAGTGAAATCTCAGTATTAGAAATTAAGCCCCAACTCAGCCCCATCTCAGTCTACCCATGTGTGATGTGATGGGATCCACAGGCTTCCTGGAAAATAAATGTAGCCATAACACAGCTTTGTGATTCAAGCTAGCGCAGTCTTTCTGGGGCAAGACAGAACCATACCTCCCCTCTTTAGTGTTTGAGGATAGGCTTCATATGCCAATTTCCATTCAAGTCCAGGGAATTCTTTACCATTTCTATTGTAAAATGGCTTCCAGACCCTTAGAAACCTCTATGAACTTGTCTTAAAATGAGCTGTCCACGTGGATATGGGCCTTAAGTAACTGCTGGGCACAACTTCATGTAATAATACAAGCTTACGAAATGGTGGTTTATTGTCCCTGCTCTTCCCTTGGTGCTGCTGGTGGCTGTTTGCCACCGTAGGGGCAGCCGTTTCCTGTAATCTAGATATGGCTAAAGTGACCTGAGCTTTCTCAGAAATGGACTAAGTCTCCAAGGTCATTTAAATGTGTGACCTTCGGGTGGTGCTCCCCTTCTCCGAAAGAGTAAAGAGAAATCAACTGATAAGATGGCAGGAGGCATGTACCATGGTTTGAGCAGCACACTGACCCCTGGTGATGTACCTGGAGTGTCACGAAATCTTTTACAAGCTACAAAGAAAATTTACCTGGATGAAACAGCAAATATCCATATGTTCTTCCTCCTGTTCCTCCTCACTGTGGTTTTCACTAGAAAAACTTTAAGCGAAGTTTCCCAAAATAATCAGCAAGGACAACCCATGCTCACCTTAAAGTATCCAGAGGTTGTTTTGAGAAGTCCTGGCAGGAGAGTCTGATAAGAGGACAGACGGCCTCAGTTGGACTCCCAGCTCCATCATTTATTAACTTTGTGGCCTGCATCAGTTATTTAAAACTCCCAGAAGCTCAACTCCTTCATCATTCAAAGGGAAGTAATAGTGTATTCTTCATAGGATTGTTGCGAAGAGGCCTTGAGTTAAGAATACACACAGAACGCTTAGAAAAGGGCCTGGTAGATGGCCAGCAATCCTTGAATATTTCTCCTCTTGTTCCTCCTCACTGTGTTTTGACTTCCCTTCCCAACACCTCTCAAGTCTGCACATTTTCCTTCCTCCCCACTGGCATTACCTGCTCTCTGGCTCCTGTTCCCACCACAGCCCTTTCTTGGGTCTTGCCTCTCTTGAATCTTCTCTGTGAGCACCTGCAGGTAAATAGGATCTTGTCAGTCCTATGCTTTTAGACCCTTCACTGGCTCTCAGTTGCCCTTTGTTTAAACCCAAACTCTTTCACCTGTTCTCTAGGGCCGTCTAGTAACTGGTTGGTGTACTCCCTGCCTAGTACTCACTGTTCCAGCCGCATCTAAATACTTGCGGTTTGCAAAGTGTGGTCCTTCCTTTCTTTGTTCTCCCTTTGCGAGGAAAACTCCTGGCTCAATGCTGTTCTACTCCAGGAAGCCATCCCTCCCTGGCTGGATGGGGAGCCGGCCTATTAATTCCTGGAATTAGCACCTTGAAAATTCCTTCTGCTATTGCCCTTCACTTTACATTGCCCTCCCTACAGGCTGGGATTGTCTCATTTACCTTCATGTCAAGAGCCCAGACCAGTGCCTGGCATATAATAGGCTCACTTCAGAAACATGCTGAATTAAAGAAGGCATGAACGTTAGCACTGTCCCTACTTGTTCTTTTTTGTCATTATCTAACCAAATCTGTTTTTCATTATCTACGAGCGTTTATAAAAATACAAGTAATTTCTTTAAACATTTCAACCTTTTAATATTTATTTTCTTTACTTATTAACACGACACTATTATTATTCTGTTCATACTTTGAATTGTGCATGCATGATGTTATGTTGTGTGGTTTCTGTATTTCTGGGTTGGCTCTTTTGTTTGTTGTCTGAGGAGTGTTTAAAACGCTTGCTGGATGGGTGCTGTTCTTTCTTGAGCCAAGTAAAACAATAGAAGGAAACGAATGACAAGTGGTAACATCTGAATCTCAAATCAGGTTTGATGCCCTGAGTGCAGAGCTGCTGGACTGGATTTTGAAATCAAAGACTGCCATTCAGGCCACAGAGATAAAAGAATATAAGAAGATGCAAGAGACTTCAGAAATGAAAAAGAAGTTGAAGGTAAAACATAAAACAAAAGTACACTAGTGAATAAAATATTTCATCAGGATAGATGTACTTTGGCATAAAGATGGGATGGGACCCAAAAGCTTCCTATAAAATAAATGTAGCCACAACGCAGCTTTTAGAACATTGTAGTAAATTTTGAATTGATTCAAGCTGGCTGGGATCAGATCCCTGTGTGGAAGAGAAATTTTTTCCCTTCCCCCTTAACCACTAAGTTGTGTAGGAAGGAACACTTACTTCCTAAGGTGATCTAAATATTATTTCTATTTTTAGCTTGATTAGATCTTTTTTAAAAATTTAAATTTGTTATTGTTTAAAGTATTACATGAGTCTCCTTTCCCCCCCATTGACCTCTCCCCAGCCACTCCCACCCCCCTCTTGATTAGATCTTAATCTGGTACCTAATAATTTGTGACTTTGTGTGTGCAGAAGACGTTTTGCTTTCTGAATGCAGCAAACTACAGTAGTACCTCCTTATGCACAGTTATCTGCAATCAACCGCAGCCCAAGAATATTAAATGGAGAATTATAGAAATAAACAGTTCAGAAGTTTTAAATTGCATGCCGTTCTGAGTGGCATGATGACATCTCGCACTGTCCTGCTTCGCCCCACCTGGGGCGTGAATCCCACCTTTGTTCAGTGTATCCACGTTGTACAGGCTACCCTTCTATTAGTCATTTAGTAGCTGTCTTCATTATCAGATCGACTGTTGAGGTCTCACTGTGCTTATGTGCAATAACACTTATTTTACTTAATACTGGCCCCAAAGCACAAGAGTAGTGATGCTGGCAGTTTAGATATGTGAAAAGAAAAGGTGGGTACAGTGCAATAAGGTATTTTGAGAGAGGGGGAGACCACATTTACATAACTTTTATTACAACGTATTATAATTGTTCTATTTTATTATTAGTATTTTGTTAATTCCTTTTTGTGCCTCATTTATCATAGTTGTGTATAAATAGGAAGAAATATAGCATATATTGGATTTGGTATTCTTCGTGGTTTCAGACATCTCATGGGGATCTTGGAAAATATCCCCAAGGATAAGGGGGGTTACTATATTTCAACTTTCTTTAATGTAGAAGAGAAGAGACACCACACAAATGCTAATCAAATGAATGGAGTTTAGCTCTGCTGCTTTGTACCCATATGTGTGTGACTGAAATTGTGACAGGGGGTTGCCGTGATTTCTGTCATTGGTGGTCATTAAGCCTCTGTACATCCTTTCATCAACTATTTGGGCATCTAGAGCAAGCCTGTATTGCATGTACATTAGCAATGGAGCCTGTCGGTCAGGAGCTTGGGGAACGTTTAAAAATCCCCACCTGGAGAATCCCTAGTCCAGTGGTCGGCAAACTGCGGCTCGCGAGCCACATGCAGCTCTTTGGCCCCTTGAGTGTGGCCATGAAGTTTTAATCGCACTGTATGTGCGCGCCCGCACGTGGTATTTTGTGGAAGAGCCACACTCAAGGGGCCTCAGTTTGCCGACCACTGCCCTAGTCCAATCCACCACCACCATCAAAGGTATCAAACATTAGTTTGTATAAAGGGCATAATCATTTTTCTCCAGTTTGATGGCGACTTTTTGCATTAGTACTTAGCTTAACAAAAAGAAATGGTATTTCTTAGACTCTCTTGTTATTTCTTGACCTTTGACTAAACAAATGGCTGTGTTACTTAGTCACATTAAAGTTTGTGTGGATCAAAATAGGAAAGCTGTATTTATTTGACAGTGCTTACAGGTATCATAAGTTAGAAGGGGCATCCTTCTCTGGATTGTCTGGTTGAAATAATATGGGTTTCCTACAAGTTTTTATTGAGCTATTTTAGACACAATTTGAATAGTTAATATCAATTGGGAATTGAGGAGATGGAAAAATTTCAAATACTGAGTGTGCACACATGTGTATATGTGTGTGTATGTATTCTCGTGATCTTATTCAGCCCTTTCTTAGAGGTTGTGGAGTTTGTCTTCACAACCCAGGCACAATTAAGCCATTTTTAAAACATAAAGAATAAAATGCTTTAGTTTGGATCCTAAAGTATGTTGGAATTATTTATAAATTATGTATGAATTTATGTTGATGATTGAAGTTTGCAATACACTCTAGACTTAATATAATACCAACAAAAAATACTGCGACTCAAATTATTTTGGTCTCTTTTTCTTTATTTTTTAAAAATAATTTTTATTGATTTTAGAGAGGAATGGAGAGGGAGAGAGAGGTTGAAACATCAATGATGAGAGAGAATCATTGATCAGCTACCTCCTGCATGCCCCCTACTGGGGACTGAGCCTGCAACCCAGGCATGTGCCGTTGACCACAGTCAAACCTGGGACCCTTCAGTCAATAGGCCGACATGCTATCCACTGAGCCAAACTAGCGAGGGCTGTTTCTTTTTCTTGTTAATTAATTTTTGTTCAGTGATCTCTGTCCAAGCACATTCAGTTCACTGGATGCAAACCCTTATTTTTATGGTGTGGCATATGTGGAGGCTATATATGTGAATAGATAGATATCCTGGATCTAAACCACTAATTTTACTTATTTCCTCTTGATAGAAACTTATAACTATAGTGTAAAATTTAAAAAAAAACCACCCAAGTTTCTTATTGTTTGTTTGAATATAACTTTTAAAATTTAATCATCTCTGGTGCTCTGGAAGGTGGCCTGCAGTTGCATAGTTGTGTATGGTAGTATCCTCTTAAGTAAACAGTGTGACACCTAAAGGGAATGTGGGAGGGACTTTAAACACTAAAACTTAAAAGAGCATCAGCATTATATTGAGAAGAAAGTTTGCAATATTCTTATATTGAGACTTTATTTCCAGGGAATAGAAAAAGAACAGACAGAAAGAAGACCCAGACTAGACGAATTAAACAAAACTGGACAAATCCTTTTGGAGCAAATGGGAAAAGGTGAGACCCTTGATTTTTTTTTAATGTGTTTTTAGATGGTGGCATTGCATCATATTTACAGTTTGACAAATCAAATATATATGTTTTGCTACTCTAACCCTCTTTGCTAGAAGAGTGGTTTTCAGAAACTTTTTTTGTCAGCAAAATGTTTTTCTTCAAATGAAATCTTATGCTGAGGCTGATTTATCAAACTGATAAAAGCAAAGTTGTTCTGCTTTTAGACAGGATCAGGGAACCTAAAACTCTGATATCTCAGCAAAACAGTTACATTCCACTGCATAGATTTTAAAATCTTCTCCTTTGGGGTATATGTTGGGAAATTTTGTGTGTGTGTGTTGGGGGGTAGTGGTTGTAAAAGAAAAGTTTTTGCTTTGGCAACATCAGAGAGATAAAGTTACATTAAGGTATGAATTTTGTGACCTAATATATGCTTTTTTAATTTCATAGGAAACCTTTTATATTTTGCATTACCATTTTTTTGAGCTTTGGTAGGACTGGAAATGCATTCATTACAGAACCCTAATTCTATTTATTTAATATGTTATTAAAATTTTTTAGCATGGGTGGGAAGCTGAGAAATGGGGGCATTGATCTGACTAGGGATTATATGTTCTGGGTTTAATTTTATTATTTTCTGAAGGTGTTTGTTTTTTATTAGTGAGAGAATAAAAATGATTTTTTTAAAGTTCCCCACTATCGTTCCATGTTATCCATTATTGTAATGTTATAGTATTGCATATTATTTCTCCACATGTGGTTAGTGCTGAAAATCCTGCTGCTGCTCTAAAACCAGAAATGTTCAACAGAAATGAAAGCACAATTGGGTGGTCCTCTCTGTTCCCCTTTCTCCTCCCCTAGAAATTTGAAGTAAGTCCTAGAACACCGAAAATTAATAAGAGGATGTTTTTTATAGGGTGTAATCTGGCCATAGTCTACCTAGGTAAGGAGACAGGTAAATGATTCAGTTCAATTAGAAAAGCATATTCAAATAATCATGTCAAGAATGTGTTCTATTTTATCCTTTTTAAGTAATTAGTAAAATGAGGAGCTATCAATTTGGCTTTGATTAGTCCTCTACGAGTTGGGTGTTCTATAGAGGTAGAAAAGTTATTATTTTGTGTCTCTGGGAGCAAAACAATTATTTTAAAAAACTGTGTGTAGGTTTCCTTTTTTATGATGCAAATTGTGCTTTCGTTATTACTTGCTATTGGTCCAACCTATATGATCTCAAGCTTGGAGGAGGGAGATTTAAATTCTGAGAATTGGTTTGAAGGGGCAACATAAATGGATCATGAAGTACTGTCAGTGAATAAACAAAGGAATTGGAGAAGCTGCTTCGGCTTCCCTAGTACCTAATGTGAGCACCCATTGCCTGTTTTCTAAATGAGCAGCGATACTTTTTCATCTCAAAACTGTGTTTACCTGCTTGATTTTCTTTCTTGTTTAGCACAAAGTGCTGACATGAAAATGAAGTGGTTGACGTTATTCTTTTGCCCACTCAGAATAGAAATGACCTGGCAGAAGCACAGCCTCTGTTTCCATCGCTCAGTTAGTTGTCAGGAAGATGTTAATGTGTTTTGCTTATAACCCCCATTAACAGGGATAATTGAACTTGGACTGTGGTGTGAATGTCTTGTGTAGGTCTAATTAATATTCTGTTACCTGCCTGACAGACAGTGAACTTCAGCCACTGACATGGGTGATGTATTCAAATCATGTCATGTGTGCATTTCTAATTTTCAGTGGATACAGGATGTTATAGGAATTTTTGAAATTCCATCGTTTGTGGGTCTTAAGTGAACTTTCATTGTACTTGCCTTTTTTTCCTTAGTGCTCTCATTACCCTGGATTTCGATGGTATATATTTACAAAGTATAATTGTCTTTATTGGCCTCCTATCTTCCCAACATACATGCTCTCCTGTGCAGATTTCTCATACTTTTTCATAGTACTTTTACAGATTTTATATGACAAAAGCTATTATTATATACTAGTGGCCTGGTGTACGAAATTCGTGCACAGGGGGTGGGAGGGGTGTCCCTCAACTGGGCCTGCACCCTCTCCAATCTGGGACCCCTCGGGGGATGTCTGACTGTCGGTTTAGGTGGGATCAGGCCTAAACTGGCAGTTGGACATCCCTATCGCAATCCGGGACTGCTGGCTCCTAATCGCTCACCTGCCTGCCTTCCTGATTGCCCCTAACCACTCTGCCTGTCGGCCTGCTCGCCCTCAACTGCCCTCCCCATCAGTCTGATCACCCCCAACTGCCCTCCCTGCCAGCCTGCTCACCCCCAACTGCCCTCCTTCCCTGCCTGCTTGCCCCCAACTGCCCCCCCTGCCAGACTGCTCACCCCCACCTGCCCTCCCCGCTGGCCTGCTCACCCCCAAATGCCCCCC